CAGAGTATGTTCCAAGACACTGAGGAATGTGTAACCTTTCCTTTACACTGAAGGAAAAAGAGCTCAAATGAAAAGAAACACTGATATAAAATTCTCCTTTTCACATTATCTTTTGATAATGAAAAAGCTACTACTGGGATAAGGCACATGCATCAAAAATTTGCTTTTCAGGATCTGGACCCAGGTCACTATGTTTCTCGGTGTTGAGAACCAAAGTATCTTGGTTTCCTGAAATAATTACTCTTCGGTAACTCGATGGTCTGGTGAGTCCCTGTGAGCCAGGCAGGAGTCTCCTCATTTTTAAGTTAATTGAAAGGATGGATGGAGTACAAGTCTCTTACTTTCGCTTTTTTCATTATAATTCAGATCATTAATTTTCTTAGTTCAGACATGGGGAAACCTATTCCTTTCTTTCTTTCTTTCTTTTTTTTTTTTTGCCTTTTTCCATAGAAACATTACATATTGTTATGATGATAATGGATATTTTCACATCTTTGATCTAATTTCTATTCTAAAATCATTTTAGGACCTGTAGAGCCAGCTCATCAATATGTCTGTGCTATGGCTGCTTCTGGGTCTTCTTGCCCTTACTGGTGAGTGTGTTTAATTTGTCCCATATGACCTTGGAGATGGGAAGGATAAGCATAGGAACAGAATGGTATTTCTGATACTTGAAACTGAGGTAGAAAATGTTGTTTTTCTTCTAAGTTGTCCAATAAATAATGGACTTAGTAACAACCACTGACGAATGGCCTCTTTCCAGATGCCCCACAAAAGGAGGGGGCTCTCCAGAATGTGGAGTGGGCTTAAACCAACATTGCTGGAGGCTGGACTTTAAATAACATCATTGATAAGTACTCATTGTTCTTCTATAAAAACCATCTCACCAAAGTTATTGAAGTTATTAATAGATCACGTATTTCCATAGAAGGATTGAGATGGTTTACGATAATAAGACTAATGTAATTTCAAATAGAAAACTAGCATGGAGGGGATCAAGGACATGTGACTAAACTAACCACTGAGGCTGACATAGTTGCTATGCTTGCATTTTGGATTTGGTCTTAAGGTTCCTTGCAGACCAAAAGGGAAAGTACATGTTTTTTGATAAATAAAAGGAGGAAGCATAGTTCCTCAGGAGAAGCAAACTTTTTCTTGGCTCTAAATTCTGATGATTTTTCAGAGCGGGTCTTATATTCATTCATTTATTGATTGATCCATTTATTTAACAAGTACTTTAAATTTCTAGAAGATATTTTGGGAACATAAGGAACTTTAAGGAGCATCTAATGTGACGAGGGAGTGGCTACGAGGCAGGAAGCAATGAATGACACAACCCATTACAATATTAATGGTATTTGTCACCAGTTATAAAGATAAACGTGTACTGATTAAAAAATGAAAAAGGACAAATTGGCTCGTTTAATTTTTGGTACACTCGTAAAAGACCAGGTCTTTTCATCTGCACATTTCTTTCAGATTTCTTATCAAAAGTTTGTAAAGTAGAAGCATTTACTCCAAAATATTAATATTTTCAGATGTCAACTCTAAGAAGCTCTTAGTAAGAAAATAGAACCTTAAAAGGCATTTATATAAACATATAATACACATATGATGATGTGCAATGAATTTGTTGCCAAAGACTTGCAAACCATTAAGATTTGATGATATGAGCAAAGAATAAACAAATAAAAAATAGTAATCTAATGAGAAGTCCTTACAGGCTTATCACAGTGAGATGATTTTCTCAGGGGGCAACTTCCTGTCCCCTGTAGGTATCTTGTTACTGCTTATGTGTCCTTCCGCTGTGAATTATGAATACTAGGGAATGCCCTTCTTTTCAGCGGCCTTTGTGAAAAACCTCTCCTCCCTGGAAGGATAGCAGTAGGTAAAGAGAGAGAGAGATGGAAAGGCAAAGACCAAAAAGGAAGACATGGAAAGAGGGAGCCCCCCGGTGGAGACCTGGTCTTGTGCCCCATTACATGTCCTCCTCTCTTTGCTGTCTTAGGGCACCCCCATCTAGAAGAGCACACCATCCAGAACACCAGGGAAAGCCAGCTCCAAGTCCCAGTGCCTTTACTTTGGGTCTGGCTTGAGACCCCAGGGAAGCCTAGGCTTTATACATGTTTCTCAAGAGCAACCATAAATATCTCATCAGACCAGCCAGGCAGGAGTATTTGAGGGAGAAGTATTGAGAATTCACCTAAGATGTAGGATGAAGACTAGTTACAGGGAACAGATCCTCTGGTTTGATTCCAAGGCCAACTCAACAGCACTGGACAGCCCAGCACTTTGCAAGGAGTATAGCTGCTCCAACAGTTGCTCGTGCCTGCAGGATAGGAGGTGACAATTCAGTATCGAGGAGGTTTCTACGATCATTTCTTAGTCACTATACTGTAAATTTCAAGTGTTTCAGTTCAGAGTGAAGTTCTTGTTGTTATTGATTTGGGCAAAATTCTTTTTATTAATGGCGCTTCATTTGTGGACAGAAGATGATCAAAACTCTTCTAGTGTAATGCCTTAGGCTGAAAATTTCTCAATTTGTAGATTCCTCTGAAAGCAGCAACTGGGGATGCTATGGAAACATCCGAAACTTTGAGACCCCTGGGGCTTCTTGTGGGATTGGAAAGCGTCATGGTCTGAACTACTGTGGTAGGTTATGATCTCATTGTCCACCTCCTCTTTCTCTTAGAAGGTGCCTCCTTTTGGCAAATGTGGCTTTAACAGGATTTTATCCCTTTCCTTGATACCCCACACCCATGTCTCCCTGTCCTTCCCCACAAACTTTGATCCTCTCAATGTATCCTTTTGGTTCCCACTATTTCCCACAGCCCTACACTACCAAGTGACAGGAAGAGCACTAGACATGGAGTCCAAAGACCTTGTCTGAGTGTGGGCTCTGGTTCTTCAACAAGTCACTTAGTTCTCCTCTGCCTCCACTGAAAGGTGTTAAAAGTACTCATTTTACAATTTTGTTGTAAACTCTGGTTGATAGAATGTGGATGAGAGTGTTTTTGAAACACAAAAAATACTTACAAGGTAAGTGAGCTAGCCAGGTAAATTAGTATTGGTTTTCCTTTTGCCCAGCATCCCTTGTTTTTTTACAAAAGTTTAAGCTCATGCAATTTCTAGGTGTCACTTTAGGGTGGAAAGGTGGGCAAGAGTGAGCAAATCTGTCAGGGAAACTCTCCAAGGACTTCTTGAAGGGGTTGGGAGAATCTCTCTTTTGTATATGGTGCTCGTTGTGGCTGATGGACAGGTACATTTTACTGGGTCACTGTTTGGGGTGCTTAGGATGGAGCCAATGTGCCGTGCCCAGGGAATTGTCCTGCGTGGGCCAGAGCAGCCCCTGAGAGACCAGCGAGGGGCACTGGCAGCCACAAAGGACATTGCCTCTGTGGATGCCAACTCAAGCTTAAAGGAGGAAAATCATACTCTCGGGTCTAGGAATGGCCACTAGGGATTTCAGAATGAGACATGGGCTTCTTGGTCCTAGACTACTGCCCAGAGCCTTGGAGTGTGATTTCTCTCCTCTTGAGCTCTCATGTCAGCATAAGTCACAGCAGCCACATCCTTCCTTCTGTGTTTGCATTAGGAGTTCGTGCTTCTGAAAGGCTGGCTGAAATAGACATGCCATACCTCCTGAGATACCAGCCCGTGATTCATACCGTCGGCCAAAAATACTGTGTGGATCCTGCAGTGATTGCTGGAGTCTTGTCCAGGGGGTCTCATGGCGGCAACGTTATGGTCAATGTGGGCAACATGGGCGATGGCATCGGGGTTGTGCAGGTAACCCTCCGTCAGTTACGGCATATGGCCGTTGTACCGCATGGCACAACGCTAAGGGGACATCTTCACATTTGTTGTTGTTGACACCCTGGAGCACAGCTCTATGGGACACAGACTGAAAGGTGCTTCCTAGAGCTGTGACAGCCACAGCTCTGCCTAATAGCAGTAGCAACATCACTGCTTCATTGTGAGCCATGGTTTCTTTGCAGAACCAACTGTGCTGTGTTTCCAGGATATCATCCATGGTACCCTATTCTGGATCCTTGCTCTGTTATTTTGCAACCACGTGACCTCATTTAATCTCCCTAGGACTCAGTTTCCTCACCTATAAAACACCAGCCTCCTAGAATTGTTATGAAGACTCAATGCAACGATGTGAAAACGTGCTTAGTTTCTGGCAGATTCTTAGTAAATACTGAATTCCTTCTCCTTGGTCTTCTTTCTACACAATCCTTAGTTCTGAAGATCCAGTTTTATTTTTGCACAAATTCTGCCTGGTTTCACTTGTCTCATAGAGTCTCCCGGGGAACTGGGCATTGACCCCACAGTTGAATTAATTGTGTACTGGGGTAATCAGTGATGGCAAGGAGGCAATGGCGCTGTGATTTTTTTCTATTGCATTTCACATTGTTGTCGTAGTTGAGAAGCCTTTACGTAGTACAGTCATTTCTTAAGCTTTTAGGAAAATGTATTCTTCAGTGATCTTTAAACTGGCTTCCCATTAGTACTTGGGATGACACTTTGCAATTTAAAAGTACTTTCAAATACTCTATCTTATTTTGATTTGGGGGCCCATCCAATAATCTGATGAGGATGGGGTGAAGGGGAAGGCATGTAATCCATCCTTTCCAAGCGAGGAAGTGATTTTACAAGGAGAGGGTCATTGCTGCAAAGTCACATGGCAGCTGGAAAATGCAGAACCGGGACCAAGAGCAACACGGGCGATGTTAGGGTCAGCGTCACTTCCGATACCCTGCTCTGACTCCTTCATAAACTCTTGTTCTTGGGAAAAGGATGCATTGTCTATCTACTTTGAAGATGAAAGAATTCTCCAGAGTCAGGCATTTCTCCTAAATATGTTGAAACTCATATGGAACGGTAACCAAAGGTATATAAGAAAAATCAGAAGTACATTTAGACATTCAGATATCTGAAGGAGAATTACAAGTGCAGATAGAAAAACCCCTTCTGACCTATTTGGAAGGCTTGTGTTTGCAGCATTGAAGGAGGGCATCGGACTGGTACATCCACTACCTCTGTCACCTTCGGCTTCCAACTCTGCCTCTCACCATTACAATGAAGCAGCTGCGAAATGTCTGATCATCCTTCCTTTGCCCAAACCTTGTAGCTTTACTGTTTATCCGCAGGGAGATTAGAGGTGGCATTAGTTCTGCCAAAGGAGGAGGAGAGAAAAAGGAGGGAAATGAGAAAGCAGCACTGGTCCCATGAAGTCCTGTCACCCTCCCACATGGCTTACCTAGCTTTTCCTCTGCCTCCCTCCCTCCAGGACCCTGGTCTTTATGCTCCCACATCCTGGATCAGCGAGTCCCAGGTTTCTCAGATAACCGAGGTCCTGACTGTTAGGATCAAAGAAATCCAGAGGAGATTTCCAACCTGGACCTCTGACCAGTACCTGAGAGGTAGGTGTAACCCATAGGTTGGTGGTTTCACAGCATGGAATTAATAAGAACAAATGTAAGACCTTGCACGAGATCCCCCAAAACCTCAGCTGCCTCCTGATGAGCAATTAGGAAAGAGAATCTAAGTCAACTGCTGAGACCCAGAAGCAACGAGGGGCCATAAGGTCAGCATTAACCCGTCTCACAAATTCCAGGTGGACTCTGTGCTTATGCTGGAGCTCCCGGCTACATCAGAAACAGCCAGGACCTGAGCTGTGACTTCTGCAATGATGTCCTTGCACGAGCCAAATACTTCAAGAGACATGGCTTCTAACACTTCAGAACAAACCCGAGGTCATTATCACATAGAAGACCTCAACTATTACACAGATAAAACTAGCCAATGGGGCTTGTAACTGAATCTGAATTTGACCTGAAGGTCATCAAAATAACGTGAAGCACATTAAAGGAGGAATTGTCTGCATTTTGTGGTGTGGTGAGTGTGTAAATGAAGGGCTGTGTCTCCTTAAAGGTATTTCCATGGAAGTTAGCTGTAATGTGGATTTCCATGAAATTAATCCTATAGCTCATTGACTGGCATTGCCATATTGAGCAAATAAAAATACAGGAAGCCCAGTTAAATTTGTATTCCAGGTAAATGATGAATGATTTTTTTGTGTAAGTCCCATGCAATTTTTAGAACACATTCATCCTAAAAAATTATTCACAGTTTATCTGAAATTCAAATTTATCTGGGTACCTGATATTTTATCTGGCAAACTCCATCACTGATTTCTTTGATAAAAATCATAGTTTCAAATTTTAATTGAAAACTTTTGTTTAAGATTGTACTTATTTATTTCAGACAGAGAGTGAGCTAAAAGAGAGAGAGAGAGCATGGGTGAGGGGAGGGGTAGAGGGAGAGGGAGAAGCAGATTCCCAGCTGAGTAGGGATTCCCCACTCTGGGCAGAGGGTGTGCTCCATCCCAGGACCCCGGGACCATGACCTGAGCCGAAGGCAGACACTAAACTGAATGAGCCACCCAGGCGCCCTTCAATGAAAACTACTGATGAGAAAAAGGGTGAGATGGTGGCTAGCCCCATCTGGAAAAGTTTCAGGAGAGTCACTTGTTTATATTTTTTAAAGATTTTATTTATTTGAGAGAGAGAAAAAAACATAAGCAGGGGGAGTGGCAGAGGGAGAAGCAGGCTCCCCACTGAGCAGGGAGCCCGATGAGGGGCTCGATCCC